CTACATGCGCCCCCTTGCCCAGGTTGCCCGGAGGCATGGGCTGGGATGTCGCCAGTATGCGGATAACACCCAGCTCTATCTGTTGTTGGGCGGCCAGTCTGACTTCAAACCGGAAGATCAGGACTGGGCATTGCAAGCCGTGGCTGGTTGGCTCAGACTAAGCCGACTGAGCCAACAGTTTTCTGCACTGCATCCACAAGCAATTTTTTCCCTTGTCCTCTTCTTCCATTGCTTTCTCAACTCCTTCTAGCATGAGTTGTGTCACACTGAATCCCACAATATCCACCACCTCTACTTTCATTGTCTCATGTTTTAAGAGGTTAATTATGTTTCTATACTTTGTGGAAGATTTCACCAAATCACTTTTACTCTTAGGAACAAAGTCCTTAAAGTACTTCATAACTAAACCGAGAACAATCTGTCTTCTCACTGGGAAGTCATCATGTTTCCCCAAAAATGCAGTAATGAAAACAGAAAAACAGAAACTGCATTCACAAAAATCAAAGAAATACTGACTTTACTGACCAATTTTTTAAAAACTGACAAATTACTGACCAAGATGAGAACTGACTTTTACTGATTTCACTGACCATTTTCCACCCCTGCAAACTAGATCAGCAGACTGCTCAGCAAGGGCCGTATCTGATGTGCCCAGAAGCCCCCAGGATCTTAGTGAAGACAACAGCTGCCACAGTTGGGCCAAAGGAGACGACCCAGTACAGTCACGGTGTTGACTGGGTCAGCAGTGGAAGCTTAGGAAGCTGCAGTGACCGGGATAATCAGCACATACCCAAGCAAGGCCTGAATCCTGCTCAATCAGGCAGCAAAAAATCCCATTGAGTTTAAAACCCCAACTGAACTTTTAAACACATGGAATTGCAGGTCAGCTCATTGTACTAAACCGCCCGATGGTGTGGATACAAATATCTTTACCTCGAACAGTTTTGTTCATTGGGTTGGATCCAGACAGCATTTCCCTTGAATCTCACTCAGTTCTCCTTCCTACTGCAGACGGCATCCCATGTGGCTTTTGCACATGCAAGACTCATGATCCCCAATGTAGCCTGTTTGGGTGGCCCCTTCCCTTTCCCCCCAGCAGAAATGCTGGCTGAATCCAGCCCATTCAACTGTAAAACTTGCAGAGTTCTGGACGTGGGCATCTTACCCAATGTTTGGCATGCGAGCAAAACTCTCCTGAAATTGATCCAAGGCCAGCATGGCAAGGTGAATCTGCAGAGGGGACTGAAGAGACAAGAGTCATTGACACCCAGAAAAAAGAAATCTCATCAGCTTCAGAGAGGGCTGTGGAGTACATTCCAGGAGTGACTCCAAGGAGGGAGCACAAGAGAATCAAGACATGTTGGTCAGTTGTAGCAAAGTCTGGGAGCAACTTAAAGATCAACAGAATTCTAGACGGATAAGCTTTCGTGGACCAGAGCTCACTCTTTGTCTTCATGCATCTAATTCCATGGACTCTAGTCCACATAGGTGCATCTCACAATAAATCTACTAGTTTTGCATGTGCTACAGGTGTCCTGGAATACAGGCAGAGTAAGGCAACAGAGCTAGGCCACAAAGCAAGGAAACAGGGCTAGATCACAGTCAAGAGTCCAGTCCAGAGATCAAATACCAGTTTAGCAGCAGAGCCAAGGCAGTCTGACGTTGTTGTTCAGCAAGGTTCAGGCAGGTCCAAAAGAAGAGTCAAGGGTCAGTCCAAAGGTCGCAGGAGGCAGGCAGAGTCCGGAGTTGTGGTCACCAAGTTCACAGGGTTGTGACAAGTTGCTTTCACAAATCTGCAGTTCTCCAGGTCTGATTTATATAGGCATTCCTTAACAAGCCTGATTTACAGCCATCTGCTCAGAGGTGCTCCTGCACTTACTCAAAACTGATATCATTACGCAGCTCGTGCCGAGCCAAGAGGTGAGCACTCTGTCTGCATGTCCTTAAGTCTTGTCGGAGCTTTTCCCTTCACTGTTCAATTTACAAGGGGGAGCATGGTGCACTACTTTCCTGCAGCTGTGCTTCGTCAGCTACTTCAGAGCTATGCATGGGGGGGGGGTGTCCAAGGTCAGCTGCCGTCAATGAAACTCAAGGCTCCTGTATCTCTAATTCACTAACTTTAGCTGGTTCAGAGATGGCTGCATGTGGGTCCTTGACTCCTGAGTCTTCAGCCACACTGGACTCAGGCTGGTCAAGCTGGCCCATGACAACAGGATGCTTGATCATTATTTTTGCTGCATATATCTTTTAAGGAAAGATATTGCCCAGGCCTAGCTCGCTTTCCAAACACTTTGTCGTTTATTATGCATGTTTGCGAAGATGTAAGAACACTTCTACAGTAAGAAAGAGTGACTTCACTATTTGTTGGTGCCTCATTTTTTAGTACATTTGGTAAAACAGAAAACTCTTTGCCAAGGCTAGTCAAAAACATTTCAGTGACAGGACCACAATTCGTAACTAAGCAGCACTGCTTAAAAGGGGAACAAAAACTCCACACACAAACCACAGTAGGGTGTGCACCACCCCTTGAGGGAAGGGCAAAAGCCAAGTGACGGATTATAATAGTTAATAGTTTTTGCCATAATAGTTACACAAGCTATTGAAAATTCTGAAGAAAATCCTCTGTCGAAAATGCTCAAGAAATATTACCTCAGGTTTGCTGAAGTCTGCCACAAGGTATGTTGGATTAATCAACTGCTTCCCCAGTCGTTCCTGTAAAAGAAAAAGGAAAAAATCCCTTGGCCTATAATTTTCTGAGGAAGAGCAATAACAGACCCTGTGCAGAGTTGCCCCAGTTGAATCCCACTGACATCATCCACGGGTTTCGACGGAGGCCACTCTGCACAGGGCTGCACCGGCCCCTCTCCCGACTGCTGGACCGTGCCAGCGCCTGTCAACTTCAGAGGGGCAAGGCAGCCGGGAGGGGAGGAGCAGCCCCTGGCCCCAGGCGCCACTCCCACAGAACGGACACAACGGAAAGGATGAAACTGGTCCCCGGCCCAGACAGCCGCACCAGCCCACCGCTCAAAATCTGCTCCTCTTTGCCTTCCACACGGAAGGTCACAGCTGCCCTTCACATCCTCAGAAACCCTCGCTCGCCACCTCTCAGAGGCCCAGGCTCGACTGGCCCGGATCCCTGGATACCGATAACCCAGTCTCCTCTGCCTCCAAGCACTCTACCACACAGGGGTCCTTTCTCGAAACTGTTTGAGGGTGATAGTTTGCTGGCTATAGGATCTCTACACAGCCCCTGGATTCGACACAGGAGGCACCCGTTTCTGTCTGGTCTGGGCAGCCACCCAGAAGTTTGAAAACCCCAAAGGGAAGAGGCAGGATCTTGCTTCCAGTATCCCATTAAGCTTCAGAGGCACTCAAAGCTCCTCTAAGGCCATGGTGAGGAGCTCAGTACTGTGCTGTCCCTCCAAGAGACTAAGGAAGTCTCCAGAGTGCAACCTGATGGCACAGATGAGTCTCCATCCTGCTCCCAAGTACGGAACAGAAGGCAGGATCTGCGGACCCCTGCACTGAATCCAGGGGCTCTGAGGGCCACCGAGGCTCAGCAAGACATCGAAGACAACCCACACCCCTTCCTTGCTCGGAAGCGGCTGTCCCAGCAGGCGCTGGAAGGCCCTCTAAAGAGCAAAGTAACTGTGGAGACAATCCCCACCTCCTGCCCTCGTAGCTTAGGAAAAGGGCAGAAACTTGCCACTTTCTCCCAGGGGAAGAAATGCTGAGTATAGTGAATGCATTAACGGATATGACTCCAAATGCTCCCAATATCTTAACAGAACAAAGTCTGAGCTACCCACCTGAACCAATATCCCAACGTGACTGGAAGGGCAACCATTAGCCCCACCTTCTTAAGGAGGAGGAGGAGTTGGGTTTATAGCCCGCCCTTCACACGGAGTCTCAAGAGTGGCTTACACTCTACATTTATTTATTTATTTATTTAATGTCTATCCCGCGCTCCCCGCCCTGGCAGGCTCAGAGTGGCTAACAAACATAGATATAAATGTATACATTAACACTCCAAAAACATGCTAAAAGCAAAGTTAAGATTACAATATAAAACCATAACTACTCTAAGTATAGTGAGAGATGGTGACATTCTGTCAGCATCTGGATGGCCGCCTACACCCCAGTCCGGGCTCCTGCCAGGCTGTTAGTCGTCCAATTGGTGGTGATGTCGATGTTAAGATGTTGAAAGCCTGGCGGAAGAGCCCCTGCGGAACTGCAGAAGGTCCCGCAGGGCCCTGATGTCCTCCGGGAGCTCATTCCACCAGTGTGGAGCCGCCACAGAAAAGGCCCTGGCCCTCGTTGTGGACAGCCTGGCCTCTTTAGGGCCTGGGAGAACCAGGCGATTTTGGGATCCAGATCTTAGCACTCTCTGGGGCACATGGAGGGAAAGGCGGCCCCTTAGGTAAGTAGGCTGGTGATTAGCTAATTCAGCCGGATCCAATGATGACTTTTTTGGGAGGGGGCAGACCACTGTCTCCTTTAGGGCACTAGGGAACAGTCCCTCCGCGAGGGACTTGTTGACAATCTCCCTTAGTGCCCCTCGCAACCCATCACGGCCAGCTTTAATTAGCCATGATGGGCATGGGTCAAGGCTACAGGTGGTTGGGCGAACCGATGAGAGTAATTTGTCAACCTCCTCTAGGCTGAGTGGACTGAAATAATCCAGAACCTGACCAGAAGACACGCATAGAGCCTCAAGTTCTGTTACTGTCTCAACTGTGGTGGGGAGGTCGTGGCGGAGCGACAAGACTTTATCTGCAAAACAGCTCGCAAAAGCCTCACAGCCAATTTCCAGTTCCTTATCATTTCCTTATCCTGTGGCAGAATAGTAAGAGACTGAGTCGTTCTAAATAACTGGGCCGCCCGAGAGCTCGCAGACACAACCGTAGCCGCATAGTATTCTTTTTTCGCGGCCTTGACTGCCATCTCATAGGATCTCATAAACATCCTATAGGATGCTCTTAACGCTTCATCAACCTCAGCCCCTGTGTATACCATTGAGCGAGTTCTGAGCGGGGGCAAAGAGGATGCCGAGGGGCGATCTCGTCAATAGCTGTCAAGAGTCAGCTTTGCCAGTCCTCGACAAGCTCATCCAACGAGCCACCAGGGGGCATCGGATCACACACAGGGTCCATTTGGCTCCACAGGTGAGCTAAAATATGCTCGCCACCCAAACAGGGTTGGAGTGGCACGTTCATACGGGCCTTCAGAACATGGTGGTCCGACCATGGGACAGCCGTAGCTGTAATCTGGTCGACTGTAACCCCCGCCGCAAAGATCAAATCGAGCGTGTGCCCTGCTCAGTGAATGGGGGCTGTGACATACTGGGGAGAGTCCCAGCGCCGCCAAGGACAACATCAGATCCATTGCCTGCGTGGAGGTCGTGTCATCGGCATGGACACTGAAATCACCCAGGACTAACTGTCTAGGGTGCTCCAGTGCCCAGCCTGATACGGCCTCCCAACAGGGATGGCAGGCTACTTGCCGGTGCGTTGGGCGGATGGTACACCAGCCAAATAGCCAAACTCTCCCCGGCTTCCCATACAAAGCCAGCACACTCTATGCCCGTGAGCTTCGGTGGCAGAAGCACTCTGAAGGTGTAAACCTCCCGAATGAACAGAGCCATTCCCCCCCTCCCCCCCACCCCTTAATCCAGGATTGGTGAAGGACCGAGAACCCAGGAGGAGCTAACCGGGAGAGGGCTAGTCTCCCCATCTCGCACCCAGGTCTCGGTCACGCATGCCAGGTCTGTGTCCTGTTCTGACAGGAAGTCATGGGGGATCGTGGTCTCATTATTTATGGACCTGGCATTGCACAACACCAATGTTGGAGAGGGGTCAGTAATCCTAGCCCTACATTGTGAGGTAGGTGGGGCTGAGAGAGCTCTGAGAGAACTCCTCGAGAGAACAGCTCTGAGAGAACTGTGACTGACCCAAGGTCACCCAGATGGCTGCATGTGGAGGAGGAGTGGGGAATCAAAACCCGTTTCTCCAGATTAGAGTCCATCAGCTTTTAACCCCTACACCAAGCTGGCTCTCAATTTTGCTGATTCTAAAAAGCGAGGCTAGGACGCTTTTTCATATATCAAGTCAACACTGGTCTAGCCTGCAGACTTCCCTGGAAACTGTAACTGTAAATGGATGCAAACATTGATCACTTTCATCATGAAGCAGGACACTTACGAAATGAAATGTTTTAGGCATCTTTACTTGGACAGCTATACCACCATGTAAGTAAGGCTCCATATCTGTAGTATCTCCAATACTGAAAGAATAAGGTGATACCACTGAAAAACAGAAACAATAAAGAGGAAATCTAAAATTTCTGAAACAAAGTAGCTAAATAAGCAATTTTATGGACTAACCAGGAATACCCTTTTATTTTATGTGACATCTGCAATTCCAGCTGACTTGTAAGGAGTCACCTCATTATAGGGCTGTGCATATTCCAGGCTTTAAAAGAAAAACTAGATTACCTGTAAGGGTTGTTCTTCAAGCAGTCATCTGTGCATTCACACAGACGGGCTCTCTGCACCTGTGCAGAGCAGCAGTTCAGAAACTTCTAGAGTTTGTTTTGTTTTGAAAGACAGAGAACCTAGCTAGGGAGAGAAAGGGACTGCCCAGTGAGAAGTTCCAAATGGGTGCAAAAGAACTGAGAAGGAAGGTGCAGCTCCTCTGCCCCAGAGCATGGGCAGCCTGAGAGCGAGGTCTTCACGCCACAAAGCTGGCCCTGGAAGTTTCCAAGTGGCTGCTCTGCCCCAGGTGTAAAGCCCAGGGTGTGCACAGAGACTGCGAAGCAGCAGTAAGTCTCAGATCTGCACCAAGTTCTCCACATTCATTATTAGGAAAGGCTGTATTCTGCAACATGTATACTCTATCCCAAAAAGAACGCATATTGTGCTTCACAGCTTTATTCTACTCCTGCTGATTGTGGGGAGGGGCTTTGCAAGGCTCTCTCCTCAGAGAATCCTGTTTAATTCACCTTCCGGCTTCAGTACTCGAACGGAAAACTCCCCCCCACACACACACTTTCAAGCCCATTTGTATACTGGATGAACTAGAAATCTGCTTTTATAAATGGACTGGTGCTTTGCTAAATATTATATTTCAGAATGAACACCCTTGTACATGGAATCATAGAATGTTAGAGTTGGAAGGGACCTTGCAGGTCATCTAGTCCAACCCCACAACTGTCGCACTTTCAGTCTGGTGTTAGTCAAGGCCTCTAAGTTCACAGTACATTCCAACTGAAACATTCTCAAAAGCCTCCAGAAATACCGTGTTTCCCCAAAAATAAGACACTGTCTTATATTTATTTTTTCTCAAGAAGACACACTAGGGCTTATACCACAAATGCATAGAAATCCTGCTAGGGCTTATTTTTTGGGTAGGTCTTATTTTCGGGGAAACAGGGTAGTGAAGGGGCGGGCGGGAGGGAGGGAGAGAGAGAGAGAGAATTACACAAAACATGGCTTACCAGTTATTTGATGCATAGATCCATTTAAACACGACATGCCGTTAATTTCCCGAAAAGTTACAAACTGTCCAGTTTCAAGTTTATGTGGATTATTATCCAAGCAAGTGATGATACCAGGATTGGACTGAAATTGTAAGCCAGCAAAAATGAGGGAAGAATTATCCAATACAAACCATTCCCATACAACAGCAACACTAACTCTCAAGCCTCTCCAAAAACCTCTCCATAAAAATTCCATCCATCCACACATCAGTCCTTCCAGGATAAGACAACACAAGGCATACAGTGCAACCCAGGAAAACCTGAGAATCTATCACAGAATATAATTTCTGCTTGTTATGATTCCTCTGAACACTTTGAACAGTACAGAAAAAGAAAACTTCCAGCCAAGGGCTGGCGTGCTTGTCCCAGGAGGGCAAACAGCAACTGTGTGGGGCTGTTTTATGTTAGGGAAAAGTTTGATCCCCGTCCTGGTCCCAGTCCAAATTAGAGTCCCACATATTGCCTACTTAAGGGGGGGAAACACACACACACACACAATCTCCTAGCTTCTCATCAGGTTTGGCCCTTAAGTGAGACCATACATGTAAATACATAGGTCACTAAATGTATCACTAAAAGTCTTGGTAGTGCTGAACGTTGTCCTCACCTGTGTTATGTTTGAAATGAATATTTCTTTTGGCTCCTCTCCTGTGGTGTCCAGGACTTCAAATTCTTCTCCGAAGTCACAGAACAGGCGTGCCCAGATGCCATACACATCTGCACTGATGAACTGCCAAAAAGGCAAAACACAACTGGGATCAAGATCTCACAAGCTTTGTATGGCGATGCGCTGCCATCTGAAGTCCAGAGGGAAAGAATGGACAGGCAGCATCCTTTACAGGCCCACCACAGTGTCGCCGCCGTGAGAAATGGGGAGCTCCCTAGAGCGCGCCCTCAGGCAGAGGGGAAATGTGGCAAATCCAGAGTTCTAAGCTGCACATACTGTCACTTCACATCATGTGTAACCTTCTCCTAAAACATTTCTACACCAAAAGCTTCTAATATTTTAAGGCTATAAACAATCAAGTGAGTGTTGGAAACTTTGCCACTGGAAGTACTTGCTGGTTTCATTGATTTTAGCACACCTTCCTTTCAACAAATCCTGGGCATTGTGATTAAAGAACAAATGTGGATCTCTTCAGGGAACCCTCAGTTAGCAAATGGCTAGGCCAGCGGGGCTCACTCTGCAGCAACGTTCGCAACGACCAACCAGAACCACCATCTGAGCCCCGTATGCCCCTATGCACCACCCACCCACCCACCCACCAAACACACACACACACACACAATAATATGAGATACAGCTATAAAAATCAAATGTAAACCCCGGCCAGTCCGCGGCTGTGTGGACAGAAGGCACCCGGCTTTCCCCACAGCCTCCCTGCTCTCTCCTCAGCCGGAGGCAAGGAAGACAGGGTGAAAGAGTCCGAGGCCACCAAGGTTCCCAGAGGGGAGTGAGCTGGCTGTGAAGCAAGGGGCCTGCTTTCTCTTCTCCCTGGTGGTCAGTCTCCCCTCTGCTCTGTGGCCAGCTTGCTCTCCTCCCAACAGCACCGGAGTGCCGGGAGGAGAGAGCGGAGGCTGCAGAGAGCAGTGGAGACGATCCGCCCTTGACCCCCACTTGTGGCGCCGCAGGGCCAGCCGCTCAGGGAGGTCCACAGCTGACCTGCCCTCCAGTCCCTCTGGAGACGGCTGGAGACGGCTGTTCCAAGGTGTGACCCACCTGACCCCCACAGTCCCGACTGGACAATGGCCTTGGCCCCACCTGGAACATGGGGCAGGTGCCACATTGGGAAACACAGGTGGCGTCTCAAAGAGTCACATGTGGCTCCTGAGCCAATGGGAGAGTATCACTTCGCTAGCAAAAAGCGAATGCACTGGAACACTTGCCAAGCAACTGGCAGATACAAGGGGGGACCCGCAAGAACTTGTGGAGGGTTGTCTCATTTCCCCCTTCCTCACTATTTCCTCTTCCCCTTCACTGAAAGCCCCCCACAGTCACTCCCCTTCTCCTCCCTTTTTATGCCTCCCTGCCTCCAGTTTTCCCCCCTTCCCTACCCCTGCAGCCTGTACCCAGGAAAACTATGGCCCTGTTGCACGGTGCTGGTACACAGTGGGCAACCTGCAAAGACTTCCAAGGAGAGTCCTCACTTTCCCCTGTATCACCTTTTTCACCCCTCCTAGCAACCCCCATATCCTCTCCCTTCTCTGCTTCCTCACCCCCCCCCCTCATCTTCAGCTATAGTCATTATTTATTTACTTCATTTGTACCCTACCTTTATCCATAATGGGACCTAAAGTAGCTTACTTCATTTTCTCCTCAGAAAAAACCCGTGAGCAGAGGCAGACTGGGAGTGGGAAAAACCCTGAGTAGGAGCCCCCTGTGGACTCTTGCCCCCCAAAGGAGAAGGGAGAGAAGAAGAGGCCATCTGCCTGACTTTGCCCCACCCTCCCAAAAGGGGGGGGGGAAGAATAACTACAAATACACCAACACTTAGAAATGAAGTAGCAAGATGCCGTACTCCAAGATAGCTGGCTGGGAAAACAGGGGGGAAACTGGCGTTAAGAACAGAATCCACCAACATGAGCATAAAAAAAGGGAAGCTTTTATCAGCTGGATTGCTCCTCACCACGCAGTCAGCCTTTGCCAGAGACAATACAAAATCCTGCAACAGCTAATTACTGGCAGCAACCCTAGGATTAGCATACCTATTGCAAGCAGCAGCAGCAGCTAGTGTCCATCTCCAGCACTAACGGACCACAGCAATAAAGATTACTGGTAAATCTATGTACAGAGTTCAACTTTATAACAGCACATCTTTTCAGTCGTGTATCGCTATCACATACAGTTACAGTGGACATCATTAGTCACGTTTCATTGAAACAATACACAACATGAAGAAGGAGAAAAAGAAGAGATTGGATTTATACCCCCCGCCCTTCACTACCCAAAGGTGTCTCAGAACGGCTTACAAACTCCTTTCCCTTCCCCTCCCCACAACAGACTCCCTGGGAGGGAGGTGGGGCTGAGAGAGCTCTGACAGAAACTGCTCTTTTTCAAGAACAGCTCTTATCAGAACTACGGCTTGCCCAAGGTCATCCAGCCAGGTGCAAGTGGAGGAGTGGGGGATCAAACCCAGTTCTCCCAGATTTTTAAAGGCCATTGCAAGGAGAATGGAAAAATGAATCCCCCCCCCTTCATTTTTCTGGGTAACTGGGTAATCCTTCCCCCCCCCCCCCCCGCCAGACTCTGTATCTGTAGATGGGGGAGGGATATAAAAAGGCATAATAGGGATTATGGAAAATTCTCAGGGTAGACAGACACGGGGGGGGGGGAGAATATCCAGGACTGCTGCTATTTAGCATTACCTTAATGGGTGGGTGTTGTGCATGGCAAAAGTCATTGATCTTCTTCTGCAGTGACAGCTGCATCTCCGTTACTATGACACACTTTTGAAAAGAAAAGTTCCACAAATAAGTTCTAGGTTACCAATGCCCATTTAAGGCAATAAACTCATAGATTTACTAGTCTGTGTTGTCAATAATGCACCCACACCTCACAAACAACAATTTACATTGTTCTGGTGTTCAAGTCTCACAACATGAACAGATACTTTAAACTTTATAAAACGTTAAGTGTATTGGCCAAACATTTCTGTTCCCTTTTCTTGAGTATGAAAAAGGTTTTAAAAGTTCAGTATCACCCACCCCCATCCAGTCCTCATCTGTATGCTGAACTCCCCCCCCCCCCCCCCCCCCCTCCCCCGCTGCCCCCCCCCCGCTCTCTTGCCTGCAGAGGCCCCCCGCCTCTTCCTCCTCCTGATCTCTCTGCCTGACTCCCACGCCCGGGACTGGCCAAAGGAAGCCTCTGCTACACTTGCCAGTAAATCAATCAGCAGGCAGATGCCCAGTTCCATATTGGAACATGAGGAAGGAACTGTGAGACTGGATGGATGATTCCCACTATCTAGATTCCTTTCAATCTAATTCTTAGTTTCCTTGGGGGACCAAGACGGCCTTGGTTGCATAACCCGGTGACTGGCTCAACAACAGCAAACAAAGTGAAACTTAATCCAGACACAGCTACGTAACGCTGATCTGGAACACGTCAGATCCAGGAATCAGTGTACCGCCCACATTGGACAGACTGCATTCTCCCCTTAAGACTAAGGTGCACAGTTTGAGGAATGATGCTCTTGTTAGACCCCTTACTACCTCTGGATGCTCAGATGGGGACTGTTGTCAAGTCCTGGATGCAATCCCTCTCACAAACACCCTTGTAGCAGCAGCAAGATTTGTTTATTAAGATACATAAAGGTTCCAAGCATAGACAGCTTCTGTGTTGGAACTGGGGCCCAGAGGCTAGTCCCATCCATATACCGAAAGCAAGAGATTCCACAGATGCCAAGCGACCAATCACTGCTCCCATTCATCCTGCCACACGCCTGCCCCCGCCCTTGCGACCGCCCCACCACAACCACCACCTGCATGCTAACGGTTACATCATTTAGAAGCTCCCCAGACTCCAAATGAGTCTTCCCAAGGTGTTCTCAATACCCTCAGGAGGCCCCTGCGTGAGAACCCTTACGAGCTGGCACTAACCCAGCAAAGCAGGCAGCCGCACACATCCTCCACCCCCACCACCACCACCACCCGTTCCCAGCAGAGATGAAAAACAGCAGTGGGAGAGAGCAAGGTCGCGTGCAACATAGGAACTGCATAAGAATACATGTGAATCCACCACCAGTGGAATAATGAAACGAGGGACAATAACCCCCAACCCAACAGAGCATGAGTGTAAGAAAACAGGAAATATTTGGCAAGTGAGGCCCGAGATTGACAACTGTGGCCAAGACTGCATTTTCCAGCTTAGACTTGTTCTCCAGCCGCGCCGCTTCCAAATATGAAATCGGTCATCCCGCTAATTTATGCTTTTAGTGATGTGCAGACTGGACTATCACAATGAACACTATATGAGAATTTGGTAGCTACAATTTGAGTAGAACGCGGATTCCAGAGTGTAAACCAGGACATATCACAACTTCAATTCCTAATGGGTTTCCAGGCCCATTTTAAGTGCTCATTTTAACTTCTAAAGCCCTCAACAGTTTGAGTTCGGATCTGAAGGTCTGCAGGCCCCCCTATGAATCGACTCCTCCATTGAGATCTCCCTGGGAGGCCCCCGTCCACGTGCCCTCGCTGACTGAAACGTGGGTCAGGGTTAACCAGGACTGAGCTTTCTCCACAACAGCACGGCACTCATGGGACGCTGTCCTCAGGACCATCCACCAGGCACCTTCTCAACTAGCTTTTAAGCACCAACTCTTTCAGAGAGTTTTTGGGATCCCTCAACTTCGCCTAAGGGCAAAATCCAGGGTGGTGGTGGTGGCGGTGGTGGAAAGTACCGTCCAGCCACAGCCGACCAGTGGCGACCCTGCGGGGTTTCCCAAGGCAAGCCCGGGGAGTCCAGAGGTGGCCTGCCCTTGCCTGCCTGCCTGTGTCACAGTCCTGGACTGCCTCTTGGGTGGTCGCCCATCCAAGCGCTGACCCTGCTTGGCTTCCAAGATCTGATGAGCCGGGGGCAAAAAATTCAAAGCAGGATTTTAACAAGGTGATACTTGACCCCTCAACTACTATCCCGTATATACCCAACAAGTTCCCCAAAATGCTGGAAATGTGATGAAATAGGCACATTTGCCCACTTATGGTGGGAATGCGAGCAGATTGTCAAATTTTGGAATGACATAAAATCGATCATCTATAAAGTTACGGGTATATCAATTCCCTTAAATCCTGAGAGTCTTTTCCTCAAACACTGGCCGCTCCACATTAAAACTCACCAACATAAAATGATCTTGGATATTATGATATACGCAGCCCGTACGGCAATTGCCACCTGCTGGAAGAACCCAAAACCACCAACGGTGTCACAGTGGTACCAAAAACTATGGGACCAATTCCTTATGGACTCCGTCACCAACAAAATAAATAACACAAATTTGAAGCCTGTACCAAGACCCATAATGGAAAAATGGACTCCTATATTAGAATTTTTAGCTTCTGAGGAATACTTGCCTGCTTCCTGGCAACACATGCAGAAATGGATGTAAATGTCCCTATACTTTGTTGTTTAAAAAAATGGATTGTACTTTCTATTACTTATCCCTATGAGCTCAAGCTCTACCTATACTTAGCCATTTCATAGATTATTAAACAGCAATTCTCAGGAATTTATGGAAGAACTAATTGGTTACACCCAATAGTTTTGTTCGTTTGAATTATGACTGTAACCCTTTTGGATTCGAAAACATTTTATTCTGTAACAGATTAATTACTTGTATGTTGTATTGGATTCACATGTTATTTGCTGATTGTTAAAATAAATAAAAATTATAAATTAAAAAAAAATTAAAAGCAGGGAGGAACAGATGGGACGCAGTGAAACCTGAGGTATGAGGTATGAGGGACTCAGGCCAAAAACAGAACAGAAAGCCCGGCTGCTCATGCATCTACACACACGATCTGCACGGTCTGGCGGCAACTCTGTACAAACAGCAGGCCACCACGACAGCTTCCTGACAACCACTCGCCTAATCCGCTCACTACCCCCCCCCGAGTTCTCCATACACAGGGAAGAACATGGGAGGGAGAGGGACCCTTCACTTCAGACTGACCCGGTGTCAGCTATGCTGCCATGGGGGTGGGGAGGTTGGCTGTATTCTAATCGCCAGTGCTTTTGTGCTTCTTTGCTGCTGTAACGCTTATTTGTAAGTTCCGCAGGTGGTGATGTTGATGTCTGGGTTTCTCGGGAACCGTGGGAGAGCGTTTGGTTCCCAGCTTCAGCGCTAAATGGCCGGAGCTCTTTCTCCCGCGCGCGGGAGGGTGGCTCATTGGCCAGGGCAGTGGGGGGGGGAGCATACGAATACCCTATATCCTACTATGCCCCAAGGGCAGCCGCCATTTTTATCAGTGCCTATGTTAATGCATCTATAGCTCTTCAATAAAGTATTACCTTTCCTGGTAAGCGTGTACTACGTTGTTGGCTGTGGGTTCTGACACCCTGCCCTCAAGCATGCAGAGGACCTTGGGTGGAGGAGAGGCCAGTTCGTTCCTGGAATCCCAAGATATCTGAATGCAGCCACAATCCCTCTTGCTACAGCAAAGCATGCTGCCAAGGGAGCAATCCCACTCCTTCTCCAGACGCACAGAAAGTTCAAGGAGGAGCAAGATCGCTCACTCAGTGTGTACCAGGGCTTTGACCGCCCTCTGGAGAGACGTTCTTGCAGCTTTCAATTGTCTGCAAGACCTGAACCGCATGGCTCCCTGAGTCCAACACAAATGCTACCGAGAGTAACTCTAAATAATGGCGGACTGCCAAAGTGAGCAAAACGCATGGCCCCTGCTCACATGCAGGCCACCAGGCATCCCACGGAGGTTCCAAACGTACCTGGTGCTGTCGGAGGAAAGACAGGTCCGTCGTTTCATTTAGTGGGGCCGCTGATGACATCACTTGGACATACGGGTTCAGCTCTGCAACGCGAGGAAGTACTGCCTCCGCCCTGAAATGCAGTTTCCAGTTGGATGATCACCTGTCCAATGTGTCAGTTCAGCCATGCAAACAAATCCAAAAACTTCCATATTCCACATGCTGACACACAGATTTAAGATTATCACAGGAAAAGCGGGGGGAGGGGGAGGAGAATCTGCACCCTCCCAGATTACAACAATGTCTCTTCCTGGATAAGATTAAATACCTGAGGTACTAAATATAACTAGCGCTAACTGGGACTGTTGTTCACCAGACCCTGTTGCTTGGCACCCAGGCCCTGATCTCTGATCCCCACAGCCAGGCACCGGCACCTCTGGTGCAGCCAGGAGCGTGGGAGAAGGCAAGAGGCGCGGCTTATGCCTATCGTCCCCTCCCAGACCCACACAGCTGTCGACCAAGTCCAAGTTCAGTCTCCGTGCTGCGGCAGCTCTGCTGGCCCCAAGCGTGTCTGGCCAAGGACCACCTTTGTCTCTTCCCACCCCCCACCCCATTTTGTTTCTGGCACACCAACGTCTTCTCAAGTAAGTGTTGTTTTTTCTTGCACTTGGGCCAAAACAGTTGCCTACCCCAAGTTAAAAGATATGTTGATTTGTTTTGTTGCTGTTCATTCTTCCACCAATAGAAATATTCACAACAAATTAAATTCAGCAAGCCCTGCCTACCTGTTGAACTACAACTATGACACTTTAGTTAATAGTTTCAGAGGGTCACCATGCTGGTTTGCAGTGGAAGAGCCAGAATCAAGCTCAGTGTCATCTTAGAGACCAACAAGACAGAGACCAAAAAGATTTTCAGGGTATAAGTTTTTGAGAGTTAGTTAGAGTATAGACTTCATCTGTATCTTCTGTAGCAATATGTTCCACAAAAGTAAATGTCATGTCAGTTTGCTCTTCCTTCTGATTGGTGCTCTGCTGTAAGAGTAGATCAAACTTAGGTTGCACGTCCTTCATAGCTTTTTCCACAGCTGGTCTTACTGCTGTTATAATTGTTTCCTGTATTAATCGTTCAAAGTCTGTAATCAACAATGCCTACACCAGCCATTTCCAAAATATAGTGTTAAAAACAGGGAATCTCTCCAACTCAGTACAGCTACGTATACTTACACAGCAGGTTTTGTTATGGTTACATTAAAGAAAAACAGAAGCATCCCCAAGTTAAAATAGAGAATGTTTCAGATTGCTTTTCAACAAAAGACCTTACAGTTGCGCCACTTCTATATTTGCAAACCAATCACCATTATAGTCATATTAAAGACTGAAACAATTTCAACAGGCCAACATTCTTATCAATTGTTAACAGTGCAGAGAAGACAGAATGTACTTTTGTAATTTCAACAAATCATGACAAAGTATGTTATGAGAGTATAATATGTAAAAAATTCAAATTAAGTTCCTAATAGTTCTTATTGATTATTCTTCTTTTTACTTGTGATACTTATTAAAATATAGTTATTTGTAATCCTTTAAAGGGTCTTCATATATGTTGTCGAAGGCTTTCACAGCCGGAGTTCATTAGTTGCTGTGGATTTTCCGGGCTCTCTGGCCGTGGTCTTGGCATTGTAGGACCTGATGTTTCACCAGTAGCTGTGACTGGCATCCTCAGAGGTATAACACAGAAAGATGGAGTACTCTCTGGGTCAAGGTGAGAAGAAAAATGGTAGGCAGGTAATTTATATCTACTCAGGAAGGTGGGGTAGGGCTGAGTCATTATCTTGTAGGAGTATCCCAGGCTATGAACATGCTAATGGAGGAGCTTTCCTGAAGGAGGTTCTTTTGTATATGGATTGTTTCCTGAGGAGGTTTCCTGAGGAGGTCTTCATATAGTTCATATAATTCCAGATAGTTTATTTGTAATTCCAAACAGAGGCACTCTTACTTCCCTAAAAGTCAAAGCCAAATAGGATTAATATTTCTAAAATTTTGTAATCCACTACCCAATATTGAAAGATTGATATTTTTGACAGTTTTGTTCTCAGATCACAACCGTCTCTTCTTTTGCCCAAGCTGTTTTTAAAAATGCTTTCAGATCTTTTCTTAGCCACTTGAAGAAAGAGAAGGGGAAGGGAAGAGATTCTTCACCCCCTCTAATCCTTTGTGTTTTCAATGGCTTTAAAGGGGGCTTGATCCATAGGGAGTCTCTGATGTTGTTGCATGTACATTTACTCACAGTGTTGATGTTTTTAAGCAATTCAGTTGAAGTTTTCTGCTTCTCCCCCTCGCTCGGGTGGTCACAGCTTCATGCCCATGCCCTTGCTTCGGGGCGATCAAAGGACTTCCACCCGCTTGCTGCCACTTGTGGGGAGTCCCAAGCAAGCCCCCTGCACTGTGCTCCTCTTCGGAGAGCTCCGTGGAGTTCAGGAGCCCCCAAACGCCTCTTAAAAAACCCACTGGGAGAGCTTCCCGGTGTCGACCGTTCTCACTGCACGGCGCCCAGAAAGCCTGTAACGTATGACACCTTATAGCAAAACTGAAACTCAGGATTTTCAATAGCAAGTTGTGCTACCGAGGGTTGCCGACCATTCAAAGGAAAAGTCAGAATTCCACTGGAGATGTCCAAGCACTGGGCATGCTGAGTGAGCTCTTCTGATCCAAGTCTTTATCATTTGTTTTTGCTGACATGAACTATAAATGCATAGAAATAAGGGTGTAGAGAGAAAGGAATCCTACAAATCTGCAATACAACAGTGCATGTTATTCCTGCAATAAATACAAAAGCAAGCATGTTCCCTGCTTCTATATGACGGTGCAAAAATTGTACAAACCTGTTTCTGTGATTTAGAACATCATCTTCTTGAACAAAGAAGTTTGTTCCTAAATCCCATGCTTTGCATTGCTGGGTATCATGGACAGTGAGAGCCTTCAGAAAGTATCAGAAAAACAAGATTAAAGTTTGAAGTAGCAATTGTGTAAAATGACAAGTGTGTACAGCACAGGCTTTATGGCTGATACCAGGGCACTACATTTATCAGTTTTGTTTATTTTGAACACTTCTATCTGGTTTTTCTCCTAAAAAGGACTCACAGGAGGCTTACAGGGAATTTAAAAAAATATTAATTACAGAAACGAAGCCATATGAATGGATTAACCTCAACTTCCTCCTTATTTAATTGCTGTCAAAGCCCATCTTGCACAGTTCAATCTTGCAACTCTTTCAAAAACCTTTAAGGGTGAGGAGTCTCGTAAGAGGGCCAAACAAACGGCTCAGCTCAGCCTGAGGCAGCTGCCAAAGCCAGCCACCAGATGTCTGGCTCCCCTCTCCCATACACAATGTTTACTAGGGCTTGCTCGTGCCCCCAGTCTCCCCTCCCCTCCCCACCAGTGATGTAAAAAAGGACTGGGAAAATGCAGGGCATCAGGAAATTCAATATGACGTCACCACGAAGACACCCCATTTGCTCATCTGGGCAGCAGCTGGGACGTCCAGTGGGACCCTGCGATTCTCGAGAGACTCCATATCGCTGCTATAAAGATACTTCTCCACGATGACATTCTGTGTACCCCTTTCTCCCGGGTAATTCGAGACACAGCACACGTCTGCTCAATGCTTAGGTCTCCTTAGGGGCAGTATTATATCCTCTCCCAGACTTGGATGGCCCAGGCCAGTCCAATCTTGCTAGACCTCAGAAGCTAAAGAGAGTCAGCCCTGATGAGTACTTGGGTGGGAGACCACCAGGGAAGTCCAGGGTTGCTGTGCAGAGGCCGGCCGTGGCCAACCCCCTCTGAATGTCTGTCTGCCCGGACCTGGGCGGCCCAGGCTGGCCTGATGTCCCCACCGGCTCCGGTGACTACTTGGATGGGAGACCTCCAAGGAAGTCCAGAGGAAGGCAGCGGCAAACTACCTCTGAACCTCTCTTGCCTCGGAATCCCTATGGGGTTACCATAAGTTAGCTGCTGTGACGTAACAGCACTTGACACCACCACCGTTATGTGCTCAAGGCGGACAGAAAGTTGTGGGCAGCAGTGTGGGTCTGAAAGTAAAAAATCAAAACCAAGAACACAATCCACAGAATGCCTTTCGTCAGGACCAGCCCAAATGACACGAAACATGGTGCAAGCTTTCTAGCTCACTGGAACTCTTCATCCAGCTGGATGCTACAGAAATGTAAGGGGGGGGAGGAGGGGAGGAACAGATGTGCAGGCCAAGATCATCAGACCTGTTCCTGCCAGCAGCATCCGGGGCTTAGCACTGCGCAGGCATGCAGGTTTTAAATGCTGCTGGGGTCAGGGAGCATCCCAGCATTCCTGACGCAGGAAGGGGCAGGCGCTTCCTCACTGATGAAAGAACAGCAAGCAGGAACTGGCCTGGCAGCTCCCTAACGCCAGACAAGTTTCACAGGCTGCCTACACGAACAGGTCTTCAGATCATGGCCTGAGACTTCCCCTTTCTTCCCCAACCCCCTTTAAAAAAAAAATCCTAACATACAGCCTGGTGAAGAGTTTTCTGGTGAACTCAAAGCACATCTAAGTCGGTCCTAGTATGTATGACATGGGCTGTGTTCTTTAACATTCTCCCATATAACTTCATAAGCCACCTCAAGCAAGTTCTCTGGAGAGGCAGCACAGAAGGGGCACAAACAGAGAAATAAAAACTATACTGCTTGTGAACATAGACAGCCACCCACATGGGGCACTTCGTGGACTCCTCTCCCTTCTTCAAGAGAAGTCGCTGTAAATCCTAGAAGGCCAGAGGTGCTGTTCTCTTCCACTTTCTGCCACAAGAGCCCAAATAACCAACCAGCCTTTCCACCGGACCATTTACTTTCACTGTGGACCATCCAGTGTTTGCTTCTCTGCACACTCAATCCAACTAGCCAGTAAAATAATGACAGGATTTGTCGAACAGACTACAGACACTTTCTGCATCATAGCTCCTTTTGCCCAGTCTCTCCTAATTCCTGCTTCGCAGAGGAGAGAGAGAAAGCCAAGTCTCTCTTCCCTTGATTGGCTAAGACCTCCTCCCCCTCCTCTAGGGAGGGAGGGGGAAGGAATGAGACAGACAGATAGAGAAACAGACAGAGAGTGATCCGTAGTGCCTTTAAGAAGACCAACAATGTTTTATTTTAGGTATAAGATTTTCTGTGCAAGCACACTTCTTTCAAGGGGGGGGAGAGAGAGAGAGCGAGGGAGACCCATGGAACTTGGAGAGATCCCCCTTTCAAGTTCTAACAGATGGGGGGAGGAAGAAACCTAACAGCACAGCTTGCATTCTTTATTAGTGAAAGGGAGCAAGAGTCCAGTAACACCTTAACAACTAACAACATTTGAGGAAGGGCATGAGTTTTAATGAGTTACTGATTACTTCTTCAGATACAGCGAGAATGTGAGTTCTTCTGTCGTTATATCTTGGAGAATGACGTGCTTTCAGATGCCAAAAGACAATAGCAGGCATTGGTAATGAGAGAAGAAACCTAGGTCTCAATTCAGTCCAGGAGAATGCATTTCCTTGAGTTTCGTTATGAGTTGCAATTCAGCAGTCTCTCTTTCTAATCTCCCTTTAAAATTTCTTTGTAAGAGAACTGCTACTCTTAGGTCAGCAACTGCATGTTCTAGAAGGTTAAAATGTTCCCCCACTGGTTTTTGAATGTTGTAATAGCAGTAGAAATAGTAAGAGTCCAGTAGCACCTTAAAGACTAACAAAATTTGTGGCAGGGTATGTGCTTCCAAGAGTCACTGTTCACTTCTTTGCATCCTGTATAAAATTGAGACCTAGGTTTCCTGTCTCATTAGCAATGCTCATATCTCCATGCGTACTACCCCTCTGCATATCACGCGCAATCCGATCAAGTCTACTATTGCCATTCAGCATCTGAAATCATCTTTATAAAGTTTATATCTCTGGTACCTTGTGTTATATTTCATGGCACACAGGGCCTGGTCCATTTATGTCAAATCTGGCCCTCATAACAAATGAGTTCAACGCCTCTGCTCTAAATGCTTAGGGAGAACCTGTATGTAACAGATAGGCCTACTCACCAGGATGAATAAAGAATAAAGAAAGTAGTATTACAAAGTTAACAAAAAAAACCCACCCTCTTAACAAGACTTGCAATCATCACACAAGCCTCTTTTGTTTTTGATGGAAATCCTGAAGTCAATTTCCAAAGACAATGAAAAACCACAGCCCCTCTTTTCGGAGACTGCTGCCGCTGCCCTGTCCTGGGCTTCGGCATGAAAGGGCTTAGGAAGGGGGCATAAATCTAGCCACGCCATACAATATGACCCCATCGCATCTTTCAAACTGGTGTGCCTGACAAAGCACGACACTCTCTATTTAGGCACAAGGTGTTCATTTATGCTAACTGACCTCTCACAGTTCCTCGGGGCCGTGAAAATGGAGCTTTTCCAGCAGACCTTCCGATAGCCTCTGGGCCGACCTAGAGCCGAAGCTTTCCAGAGCGGTAGTACAGTTGACAGCACGTGAACGCACTTTACTCGGAGAACCGCCATCGACAATAATGGTTTTAAATTGTATTAGGCAGTGTTTTAGATATTTTTGTATTGTATATTGTTTTACTGGTTCTGTGTGAGCTGCCCTGAGCCTGCTTTGGCGGGAGGGCGGGGCAAAAGTCGAACAAACAAACAAACAAACAAACAAACAAACTGCTCACGGGGCTGCCAAAGGGACTTGGGGACAGGACTCCAGGAGCCCCCGTCACCCTGAGGGAGGACAGGTGCGGAGCCGTGCAAAGTCATACCTTCTGCCCTCATAGGATGTCTGTGCCGGACCTGGGGAATGCGGGGTGGGGAGGACCTTTGCCAGGGGTGCCTCGGCAACTCTTAATGGTCCTAGTTTCTCAGATCCACATAAGTACTCTCAATTATTTAAGGGAATATCACTACCTATATTTAAAACAATTTCTCTTAGAACAAACCCTTCCCCTTACCTTTATTCCTGCAAGAACTACGTTCTTAGCTGAAAAGAAAAATAAACAATATGAAGTTCTGATAACATTTTAAACATCTTTATGCTGTCCTGCTACCCAACTTAAGGTCCCCAAGACAGCAAACAATCAAAAACATTAAAGCAAGCTTTAAACATAACGTTAACACCTAAAATCAATTAAGCAAAACACATCAACACAGAACCACTTGAACAGGAGGGAGGGCCAATCAGAGAATGCCAAAACAAAACAGAAAAAGTTGCCAGTCTTTAAGGTATACTGCCGGCCACCAAAGTGTAGATGGCTTTCAAGGTCAACACCAACATCTTGAATTGGGCCAGGAAGCAAATCAGGAACCAATGTAGGTGGGAAAAGAGTGGACTGATATGGTCCTTTACGACCCACTCCAATCAGAAACTGGCCACAGCTTGCCATCCCAGTTAGAGCTTCCAGACACTCTTCAAGGGCAGCCCCATGTGGAGCGCACTGCAGTAGCCTAATTTAAATGTTACCAGGGCATGTACCACAGCAGCCAGATCTTTTTGCCCAGGAAAAACTGCAGCAGGCTCACCAGTCAGAGCTGGTGAAAGGTGCTCCAGGCCGCTGTCACCACCTGCTGCCCAGGGCCAGCAGCACCAAGCCACCACCTGCTCCCTTAGGGGGAATGTAGCCCCCTTCAGAACAGGAGATACCCCTCAAATCATGGGCAATCCTTCCTTCCACCAACAGCACCGCCGTTTTGTTGGGAACGCATTTCAGACAGTCAGCCCTCATCCCAGAAGGAAAGTCCACACTCATAATTACTTCACTGCTATTTAAATGATAAAGTAACCACAGAAATTCTAAACAAGAAATGATGATATTACCGTCATCTGTAATAAAGACTTCAGTGATAGGTTTGAAGAAAAATCTGAAAAGTTTTTGGGGTTTTTTTTTAAATCCTGTTTTCCCCTCTATCCTGCACAGACCCCTCCACTCCAACACAGCGATGCTGGCTGAGATCTCGTGAGATCACAGCCCTGAGGCGGCGGCAGGAGCGACAGCAACACTTGAACCACAGACCCCCAATCAGCTGGGCATCCAAGGGGAGGGAAGGAACGCTGAAGCAGAAAGGGAGAGCTGGGAAAGGAGGAGAGGGACCTCAGGGCCAGATTCCCCTCCCTCATCTTTTCCAAGTCCACTCCTTGAAATATACAACTCTGAAGGCTGGAAATTAGCCTGGCATTAAATTGCCGGGGGGGGGGGGCTGGCTGGCTCCTACAGTCAAAGAAAAGTGCTCAAGGCCTGATCTGGGGCACAGAGAGTGCAGTCCCGTGCAGAGTCACTCCAGTCTAAATCCATCGCTTTCCATGGGCTCAGACTGGAATAACACTGCCCTGGACTGCCCTGAGGATCACTCTAGGACCACCTGTCTCCCAGGTAGCTGTGCTGAAGCAGCACGGACTGGGACTCTTCCCCCAAGCGACCTCGCTGCCTGGAGCCACACGAGTGGCATGAGATACGCGGTCTTCCACTGTCACCATTACATAGCAGAAGCCGTTCCTAGGCTAGGCTGGGAAGCTGTTTTGTGAAACTGGGTATAAAAGATCTGAAGGGCTTCTGACCTTGGTTTGAAGCGGATTTCGCTACTGGGGGGGTTGATTTTTATTGTGGCTGTGTGGTCTTTACAGGTCTTCACACTGCTGCCCTCCTTGCTCCCTGCTGCCGTAACCCACACGACAGTATCCGTTGTGAGATGGCAAGGCAGGCTGTGAGTTGTTTCAAACAGACATGCTTTACGCACAGTAACCTTAAGATTGTGCAGATTTTGTTTCGCATGCTCCACATAAAGTATGCATTAAGAAAAAAATTAATAAGAGCTTCTGAAACATACCGATCTCCACACCAAGACCACCCATTCCACTCAAGAACACACGGGACCGGGCCATCTTCTGCATAGCTGTGTCTCCAAGAACATACCTCTGTCGGCTACGTGCAAATAAGAAAAGAACAGTCATAAAATGAATTTTAAGAACTGTTCTAACTGCTTACGTTTGACCAAGACGATCAACTGGGGAAAGAAAGTAACCTGACATCATGAAACTACTTTGAGACAGAGAAGCCTGCAAACTGTTCAGATTCAGCATGGAAACGAGCAAAAATATACCCTCCAGGTACAACTTCAGGGCAATGCTGACCTCGTGGTAGCCTAGAACACACCTTTCACAGCATTTGCCTTCTGCTTTTAGTCTCTTGCTTGCAGTTGTGCTAAGACCAACCGCTTTAGTCCTCTTGACTTCTATGGGATCGCACAGCAGCCTGTTTGAAGGACTGCAGTCAGAGTAATTGACGGTCCTGAACTGGATTATCTAATGTCCGTATCTCCTCATGTGCACACCTTCAACTGCAGGCCCGTGGAAAGGATCGCGAGTGACACAATTTTCCTAACCACAGGGCTGATCTGCTGCAGAGCCTGGGACCCTCCCCACCATGGCACTTACTCCACAGGTCTTCCCCTTCCAATCATTCATGGGCTCCAGCCAGCCTGACATCCTCCTCCAGTTCTCATAAGCACCTTGTGAGACCACATCAAAGGCCCCCAACCTAGAAACCAGCATGCAGTTTCTAACAGTGGTCAGCAAGGATTTGGGGGCCGCTTAAAGGCAGGGCATGACAAGCCTTGCCGTTCGTCCCCCTGATCTGAGGTTTCATCCAAAGGACAGAGGCCATATCCCTTAAAGAGAGCTGTCCTGTTCAACTGAGCTAATTATTTTAAACTACCACCTATGGTCCAGACTAAATAGAACATGCAGCCAGGGATACCTGATTGTTTCCTCCTGAAGACAGAAATACAGGACGTGGCAGGTATGCCTGGGGGGGGGGGGGATTCATTTCTTCACTTACGCCCCACCCGTCTCCCCAGTGGGAAACCAAAGCAGGGTACATTGTTCTCCTTGCCTCCCTGTTATCCTCACAACGACCACTCTGTGAGGCAGATTAGGCTGAGAGTGTGTGACTGGCCCCAGGCCACGCCGCAAGGGTCTCAAGCCCGGAGCTCCCCGATCCTAGTCTGACACCCCACAGCCCAGCCACAATGCCACGCTGGCTCGTGAGCAGCCTCTCCTCCCCGCTTCTCTCAGCTTCCCACAACCGCTTTGGATTAAAAATGAAATGCCCCGAAAGGAAGATGGCTCACTCTGTGGCTCTGAAAACAGACAACATTTCCACTTTCCAAAAAGAGACTGTCAATTTGATACACTTGGGTTCTCCCGTTTGTTTTACTTAACACAATAATGTTGGATCCCCAAGCATCGAGAATAAATCCACGTTTCAAAGAAAGTAAAATTTATTTCAAAGCATTGGAAAGACACTTAAACACGTTCTTTGTTAGAACTGACTACAGAATGGCAGGTCAAGCATAATAAAGGAATTCAAAACAGGTATAGAACCAATGGGTCACTTTCCCGCTGGCGGGTTAGAGGAAACGGTTGCGCGCCCATTCCCTGAGAACAAGGTGATCGTTAGACATAACACAGGAGCAGTTCCCATGCGAGAAAAGCAACAAGCCGGCAATGAAGCAAACTCCCCCGACACATCCTCCAGTTGTTTGGCTTAGGCATTACAGCAGGGTAACATAACAGCGCAGAGGCTAGGGGGGAGGGGGGGAACAACTGTACCAAAGTACCAGTAACACAGAACACCATGGCAGCTTGCTGACATACTGCCCCCTCAAAAATACACATTAACCACCATCTCCCGGGTTGGGCGGGAGAACTCCCGGGCTGGGCGGGAGACCTCCCGGTTTGGCCGGGAATCTCCTGTGGAATTCACGGAGCAGGTAAGGGGCCCGAATATCCCCTTCTTCCACCCATTCTCGGTGCTGGGGTCCGAAGTCCACCCATTCGACGAGATACCAAAGCTTACCACGCTTGAGCTTGGAATCAAGCACTTCTGAGATTTCGAAATGTTCATCTCCTTCCAGTATGACAGGCGGAGGAGGAGAGACAGTAGGTCTCCATGGAGAGGGGCCAGGATCCTTTTTCAGTAGGCTCATGTGGAACACAGAGTGCAAGGCACGGAGATTCTTAGGCAACTCAATATCAACAGCAACATTGTTAATCAGTTTACGCACTCTGAAAGGACCAATAAATTTCCAGCCCAGTTGCTTACTAGGGCGTAGCATCTTGATGTTCTTTGTAGAAACATACACAAGGTCCCCAGGTTTTAAATCAAATCCCACCACCCTACCCTTATCCGCCTGGGCCTTATAGGCTGCTTTAGCAGCCTCTAGAGTAGTACACAATATAGGCCAGGCATCTTGTAATGATTTACACCAGGAACC